CCTGGACGCTCTCGACCCGCTGCAAGAGGGAGGCACGGGATTTGGGGAGATGGGCCAGGAGGGGAGGAGACGGGAGGGGACAAGTGAAGATGGGACGAAAGAGGGACGAGGAAAGGAACAATGGGGGCAGTAGTGGGGCAGGCGCTTCAGATACTCATGACGCCCTCGCAGTTGTACGAGTCGCCCCTGTTCCAGATTCACATACTCGGGAGGGAGAAAGCCAGGCGCGGAGCTGACTCTTCCTTCGGGTGCGCCTCGCACGCCTGGTTGCCGGCATGGCGGGGCCACAGAGGGAGGTTCTCCAGGGGGGGCGAGGAGTGCAGACAGGCAGGGAGGAGGCGGGAGGGAGGAGGGGCAAGCGACACGGCACACATGTTTGGCCCTCCGGTGTGGAGTTTCGTGATGGCTTGCTCTGCCGTCCCTGCGGTCTAAGACCCCCCACTGGAGAAAAGCTTGATTGCCGAATTCATTGGGCTTTGATCGATGCTCGACTCCAGGGGATCGGCCTGTTGATTATTGACCACGTGCGAAAGGAGGTGGTCGCGTGCGCAGCGCCGATACCCGTGGTGAAACTATAGCTCCACAGTTGTTCCACCGAGGGCGGAAGCTCCCAGAATGACCCCTCAATGTGGCCTGGATCCTCGCGCCGGGATTCTGACCCCCGCCACGCCTCGACTGGATCGGCATCTGCTGCTGCGCGTGCTGCACAAGAGGCCCCCCGGCGGATGCCCGCCGAGCCTGACCGCTTACACGCGCAGGTGTGGCAGCCGCTCGCCTGAAGGAAAGCTGCACATGAAGAGCACAACTTGATCAGCCGCTGGGTAGTTTTCCAACGGCCACTGAACGCATCGCGCCGCCTTTCTGTCTGCATGTTGATTCCCGATTCCTCGACGAGCTTCTGAAAGGAGGCAGGTCGAGGGGTGGCACTGGAGCAAGACACGAGGGCACGAGTCAAGCCACAACGGGGATCGGCCCAAGCATCCCCCAGAGCACCCCCAGCAAAGCACCCGAACAGCAGCAAAGGCGAAGCGGCGGGTCGAGGGTGAGAGCACGGCCGTGTGAACTTCGGCGTTTTTGCCCAGGGGAGCGTGGCCGTCCGGACCAAAAATGTAGCCGGCATGGCGGCGAGAGCACGATACTTCCTTAAGCGGTGAGGAAGTCTCGGGCGAAACGGCGGCTGGACGGGGCGATCTCCTCCTCCTCCTCCTCCTCCTCCTCCTCCTCCTCCTCCTCCTCCTCCTGCTCCTGCTCCTCCTCCTCCTCCTCCTCCTCCTCTCCTCCTCCTCCTCCTCCTCCTCCTCCTCCTCCTCCTCCTCCTCCTCCTCCTCCTCCTCCTCCTCCTCTCCTCCTCCTCCTCCTCCTCCTCCTCCTCCTCCTCCTCCTCCTCCTCCTCCGTCCTCCTCCTCCTCCTCCTCCTCCTCCTCCTCCTCCTCCTCCTCCTCCTCCTCCTCCTCCTCCTCCTCCTCCTCCTCCTCCTCCTCCTGCCTCTCCCTTCTCTCCCATCCACATCCTCCTCCTGCTCTGCCTCCCTCGGGAGACTCACCCGTGGCCTTTGCTTTATGTTGTTAGAGCCCTCTACCGAAACGCTCTTAGGGAGAATGCAAGCTTCGGGGCAAGAGGGAGCCCCCTATGGAAGGTCTTTCGGGCTCTTCGAATCCCTCTTCAGCCTCTGTTGGGTCCTTCTGGGGCCTCTTGGGCCCTCTCGCAGTCATGCTGAAGTCAATCCACTCGGCGAAACCCCCTCCTCCAAAGACCGAGCACATGCATCTTGCCTGCGGCCTCTCTGCAACGCGCCTGGTGTGCTCTCGAGGGACGTTCTGCATCGGAGATCTGGGGGGGGAGATCGCAGTGGAATGGAGCGCCCCCCGCCGGGAAGTCGGCTTCGGCCTCGTGCTCGTGCCGCGCGTGCGGGCGCGGCGAAGCTGCGTGGGCGCGCGAGAGGCATGCTGCCGCCGTGGCGGGGTGCTGCGGAGCCGGCGTCAGTGTCCCGCCGGTGCTTGTCGGTGGCGCGGGCGAGGTCCCGTCGGTGGCGCGGGGTGCCCCGTCGGTGGCGCGGGGGTGTCCCGCCGGTGGCTCCGGGTGTCCCGCCGCGCTGTCTCGATGGTGTAGCTCGTGGGGTCAGTTGTGAGATCGATGGTGGGATCGATTGCGTCGTTGGTCGTCATCGTGTGGTCGATCGTGAGATCGAGTGATCGATGGTGAGGTCGATGCTGGGATCGATAGTGAGATCGATCACAGCAGATCTTTGGCTGGGGGTGCCCCATCGTGGCTGAGGGTGCCCCTATCGTGGCGTCCCGATGGTGTCTCGTGAGATCTCCTGTGAGCTCGACAGCGAGATCTCTAGTGAGATCGATCGGTGATCGGGGGGGAGATCGCATAGAAACGGAGAGCCCCCCAGCGGGAAGTCGGTTTCGGTTTCGTGTTCGTGTCGTGCGTGCGGGCGAGGTCCCGTCGGTGGCCCGGGGGTGCCCCGTCGGTGGCGCGGGGTGTCCCCCCGGTGGCTCCGGGTGTCCCGCCGTGGTGTCTCAATGGTGCCTCGTGAGATCAGTTTTGGGATCGACAGTGAGATCGATTGCAATATCGATAGCGATCGTGTGATCGATCGTGAGATCGATCGATCGATAGTGAGATCGATCGCAACGGATCTTTGGTTGGGGGTGCCCCGCCGTGGTTGGGGTGGCTCCATCGCGGTGTCCCGATGGTGTCTCGTAAAATCTCTTGTGAGGCCGAAAGATCTCTTGTGATATCCATAGTGAGATCGAGAGTGAGATCGATAGTGCGATCGATATCGAGAGCGATAGTGAGGGTTCCCCGTCGGTGGCGCGGGGGTGCCCCGTCGGTGGCGCGGGGTGCCCCGTTGGTGGCGCGGGGTGTCCCGACGGTGGCTCCGGGTGTCCCGCCGTGATGTTTCGATGGTAGTTCCTGAGGTCATTTGTGAGATCGATAGCGAGATCGATTGCGTCATCGATCGTGATCATAAGATCGATCGTGAGATCGATAGTGAAAGCGATCACGACAGATCTTTGGCTGGGGGGGGCCCGCAGTGGCTGGAGGTGCCCCATCGTGGTGTCCCGATGGTGTCTCGTGAGATCTCCTGTGAGGTTGATAGTGAGATCGATAGTGCGATCGATATCGTGAGCGATAGTGAGATCGATGGTGAGATCGGTTGTGAAGTTCGTTTTGAGATCGATGGTGAGATCTTGTGTGAGATCGACTGAGGTCGATAGTGAGATCACTAGTGGGACCGATAGCGAGATCGATCACAACAGATCTCACTATCCATGGGTCGTGGTCGTCCTCGCTCCGGCGAGCCCTCCACGCATTGCAATCACCGCGGCCATGGCTACCGTTGCCTTTCATAATGGCCTGGCGAAACTCGCGACTGTAATGTCCGTTGTGATGGCATTTATTTGGCCCGCTAGTGTTCCGATGATGTCCCGATATTGCCCCGCTGATGTCCCGATCGTACTGAACGCCACTCGCTGTGAGATCGTTAGTGAGGTCTGTTGAGAGGTCGATAGCGCGATCGAAAGCGAGATAGATTGTAAGACCGATAGTGTGCGATCGATCGTGAAATCAATATCGATAATGAGATCGATAGTGAAGCCGGTGGTGAGATCAGTCGATTGGAGTCGCATGCGAGATCGCATTTATGTGGTATGAGCTCCATCGCAGCTGTGTAGCCTACACTACAATCACCATGACTCATTCTCACCATGAGCGTCATCGTGCAATGTCGCCATGTCACCGCCATCACAATCATCGCAGCCGTTTTCAGTGGGTGTTCCTTTCACCATCCACCCACCAACCTCCTCATCACCCGAAGGGTGGTCGAATAGGTTTCGTTAGGCGCTAATGGACCACTCTTGGAACCCTGGTGTATCATCTCGTGCAACCACGGCACTAGACATTCCCAAAAAGGCGGATTGCACAGCATCATTTGGCGTCGACTGATGGCGAAGTCGTAAAAATCATCTGGTAGGAGACACACATCCTTTAGATTGGTCTTGTGGCAGTGGTCGCGAATATCGTCAAAGAGCATCGGCCCCTGCTCCACAGATGCATGAGTTTTGTTAGTCAACATGCAGCTTAGCACACCACGTCGGGCAGAAGCGATTCAGAGCAAGCGCGAATACGCAGAGCACGTGTCCAACGAATGGGTACACCCCCCCTAACGCGGACTGCCCACCTAACGCAACCTGGGCCTCGGTGACACCGAGCCCGGCCCGCGCGGAATGGGTCACGTTAGCTTGAATGGGCCAGGTTAGCTTTGGCGCAGTGTCGACAGGGCCAGGGTCAGGGTATGTTGGGGATTTGCCGCGTTGAGGGGGGTGGGCGCCTGTAACCACCGAGGCAGCGCTGTCGCGGTGGGCTTGCTGAGAAGCCACGGTGCACTGCGCGAGGGGCCCGTCTGACCAGGGCGAGCCGTGCTGTCGAGCCGCCCGGAGCCCAGGCTGCGAGAAGGAGGAGGAGGAGGAGGAGGAGGAGGAGGAGGAGGAGGAGGAGGAGGAGGAGGAGGAGGAGGAGGAGGAGGAGGAGGAGGGAGGAGGACGGAGGAGGAGGAGGAGGAGGAGGAGGAGGAGGAGGAGGAGGAGGAGGAGGAGGGAGAGGAGGAGGACGAGGAGGAGGACGAGGACGAGGGAGGAGGAGGAGAGGAGGAGGGAGGAGGAGGAGGAGGAGGAGGAGGAGGACGAGGACGAGGAGGAGGACGAGGAGGAGGAGGAGGAGGAGGAGGAGGAGGCGGAGGCGGAGGAGGAGGCGGAGGCGGAAGAGGAGGAGGACGAGGCAGAGGCGGTTGCCACTGGTCCTAAAGGGGGACTAGTGCCTGGGTCGCGGATTCAGCAGAAGGAGGAGTAGGAGGAGGAGGAGGAGGAGGAGAAGGAGGAGGAGAAGGAGGAGGAGGAGGAGGAGGAGGGCGACGACGATGGCGACGACTCCCGCCTCTCCACTCCCTCGCTGCTCCGGAGCGCCGCGAAGGCCTCCGTAGTAGTAGGCACTGGGGCTCCAGTTCTTTGGGCTCGAGGCCCTGACTTTTGTTCTGCTCTGGCCCCGCGCCCTGCGCTGGTCCCGCCCTCTCCGAGCCGCAGGAAGCATCTGCACTGACCATGCCAGGGCCTCGGCCCCCTGGCCCCCCTGGCCTCGGCCACGAGGGCACACAGTCAAGATGCTGGAATAAGGACCACTTTGGGCTCAGGGGGGTTGGGCTTTGATTTTCGGGCCGTTGCTTAGATCTAGGTTGAGAAGCCTATTCGTAGCCTGGGCTCGCCGTTGCTGAGTCAAACCCCTTCGTTCCTTGCTTGGCGCTCTAGGTGGTAGCACGACGGCTGTACGCACCATGCCAGTGCCCTCCTGGCCTCGGCCAGGAGGGCATACGGTAGGTCCGGGTCGTGCCGACGCGGCGGCAAATCCCGCCGCGCAGCGGGCGTACAAGGTCGAAGGCCAAACCGGAACGATCTGGAGGTCGAAGCGCCGCCGATCGTCAAAGGCTGAACGACCCGCGCGGCGGCAGAAGCCAGCGCCCCTGGTCGCCACGACGGGAGCCTGCCGTGCACGCCCTGCCTGGGCCCGGAGGGGGGGCCCCAGCCAGACACTCGGGGGCGGAAAAGAGGGGGGTGATGACTCGGGGGGGGGGTGGATATCATGGCGCGGGCCATGATATTTCCGCAGGACCCATGGCGCCTCTTCTCGTTCCTTTACGTCCCTGGCCCCCCCCGCTGGGCCGCGCACATGACGCCGGTCATGATTTGCACCCCCCCCTCTTGGACACCCCCCTCTTTGGCCGCTCCCGAGACAGGGCAGTGGTGTGCGGGTGCTTCCCGGATGCTCGCGGCGCGAAGCCAGGAGCAGCCCGCGCCCGGAGCGATGTGGGGCCGCCTCTTCGTCGCCTGGCTCGCGCGCGCAGCGGCCTCGGGGTGCGGCGAGAAGGGCCCCGACCAGACGGGGTGGTCGGCCACGACGAGGATCGTGAACGGCCAGGCGGCGAGCGAGTGCGAGTGGAAGTGGCAGGTCGGGGGGCGTCGAGGATCCACCGCCTCGCCGATCATGGCCGGGGCCACCTGGGGCACGGGATCGGTGCGCGTGTGTGTGTGTGTGTGTGTTGTGTTGTGTGTTGTCTGTGTTGTGTGTGCTGTGTCCTCTGTGTTGTGGGCTGTGTGCTGCGTGTTGCGCGCGCATGTGTGAATATGTGTGTGCCGTGCTTGCGTGTGTGCGTGTGTGTGTGTGCGTATGTGTGTTGTTGTCTGCGTGTGTGTTCGTATGTGCTGTCTCTTGTGTGTGTGCGTGTTTGCATGTTTTTGTGTGTTTGTGTGCGTGTCCACCCCGGGCCTCTTCCGCATCACCCCGTGGCACAACGTTGCACATCGCCTTCGTGGTGCTCTTCTTCTTCCTGGGCGTCGACCTGGTCAAGTGGCACGCCCCCCTCTGCAGCGCTTGAGGCTGGTGTTCGCGATGCGCCGTCGACGGCAACACCTTCTCCTCCACCCTCCGGGTCTTCGCCCCTGGTACCAGTCCGCGGCACATTTGCTCCTGCACATCCACTTCGGCACCGCCTGCACCCCGGGCTTCGCCGGCTCCGGCCGCCTGAGGCCCCGCCTTCCTGTGCCCTGTCTCCCTAACTAAAGCTGTGCGTAGCCCGCCTAGCTTTTAGCGGAAGAGGTTCGCTCTCGCCCCGCAGATCAAAAAGTTTGTTTGCGTGTGCGCGTGTGTATGCCCCCTCCCGGCTTGGCCAGGGGGGCCTGCGCACCGATCTTGGGCTCATCGGTCGGCCGAGTTTTGGGGTGGGTGCGTGGGCCGCGGTGGCGTCCCCCGAGCAGGCCTGCCTGAAGACCCCGGGCGTGCGCGGCTGCTGGTGCGGAGGCACCCAAAGGAGGAAAAGGTGCCCCTACGACTGCCCTTGCCTCGCATTCGCCCTTTGGGGCATCCTGGGCGGCCCTCGTCGCCGCCGCCGGATTCGCCCCAAAACTCTGGTCAGAACGCACCCGAGCTGAGGTCCAGGCAGTAGCGGTAGCAGTACTTTTCTGGGGGTTCCCTATAGGCACGCTCATCAGCGAGTCTTGGGTCCTCACCGCGGCGCACTGCGTCGAAGACGGCCACAGCTTCAGCATCATGCTCGGAGACCACAACCACGTCCAGGACGGCGACGGCGTCGAGCAAGAGATCTCGGTGAAGCGGGTCGTGTCCCACCCAAGCTACGACATGGAGACTGTGTCGCACGACTTCGCTCTGATCGAGCTCGCCCAGGAGGCTTCGATGAACGACTGCGTTGGGGCGGCCTGCCTGCCGGATGACAGCATGGAGCTGAAAGGCGGGGAGACTTGCTACATCTCAGGCTGGGGCACCCTCTCGGAGGAAGGCGGTCAGCCAGACACGCTGCAGGAGGGCGAGGTGACAATCGTCAGCGACGCGGAGTGCGGGTCGAAGTACGGCTCCGGCGTGATTGACGCCAGCATGTTGTGCGCGCAGGGCACGAGAGGCAGCGACATCGTCGACGCGTGCCAAGGCGACAGCGGCGGCCCGCTGGTCTGCGAGAGCGGCGGCAAGTGGTACGTTCACGGCGCTACCTCGTGGGGGTACGGGTGTGCGGCCGCTGAGTACCCAGGCATTTGGGCCCGCGTGACTGCCGAGCTGAACTGGATCCAGAACGTCCTCGACGGTATCTCGAAGACGAAAAACTTCATCTACACCCGCTTTCGCCGCTCCGCGCGGATTACTCGGATCGGCGCCAGGCCCCCACTGGCGGCGCTTCAGGCGCCGCCCCCGGCGGCTCCGCGCGCCGGGGAGGCGGGCCCAGCGCGGAACCAAGGAATCCCCGCGGGCCTCCGAAAGTTCATGTGTAGGCAGTTTTTGTTCTTCTAGGCATCACGGAGGCGCCCACGCCAGCCCCCACCCTGGGCGAGTTCCCGGAAGGCCAAAGTTTCTTGGTGAGCAGCGGCAGTTGCACGGCCGCGGGGTATTGCGTGCGCAGTCCGAACTACCCGAGTGACTACGGCAACAACCAGGCATGCACTATCCATACCGCAGCCGACAACGCCATGGCCATCGAGGTGGTCAGCTTCGCGGTGGAGGCCCACTGGGACTACCTCGAGGTGAATGGCATCCCCTACTCCGCAGGCCTGGCGCTCGCGGGGGTCGTGCCCACCTCCCAGATCGACTGGTTCTCGGACGCCTCCGAGGCGGAGGGGGGCTGGGAGCTCTGCCTGGCGCCGCCGACGCCCGCGCCGCCGCCGACGCCAGCCCCGCCACCGACCCCGGCGCCGCCCAACGCTTTTGCGGGCTGCCAGGATCGCGTGCCAGACGGGGAGGTGGAGTGGCACGACTCGGACGGCGCCAAGTACAACTGCACGTGGTACGCCGAATCTGAGGACAACTGTCTGTCGTACGGCAGCATCTTCGAGAACTTCAACATGACGGCCAACCAGGCGTGCTGTGCATGTGCCGCAGTCCAGCTCACCGTTCACGGGCGCGCCGATTCACCAAAGGAGTGGATGGACAGGCCATATAAGAACACCTGCGCCACGTACGCGGCGGAGCAGTGGTGCACGAGCACGGGCGGCTATGGGCCTGAGTGGGACATGGAGCTTTGGGGAGCCTTCGACGACTACCAGAGGCAGGGGGTGTCCGCAGACGAGGCCTGCGCGGCGTGTGGCGGGGGCAAGGCATGCATAGACACGACGATCGGGTGGGAGGACTCTCAGGGCTACACGTGTGGCGACTACATCGACAACGGCTGGTGCACCTCCGGAGGCGACTACGGGTCGAACTGGGGAGCTTCGAGGTTTTCGGGCACCTTCGACGATTATGCGACCGATGGGCAGTCTGCCGTCGAGGCCTGCTGCGCTTGCGGGGGGGGCGCCGAGGGCGCTTGCGCGAATGGGTCCGCAACCTTCGACGCTGGCTGGGGCGGTTGCGCCACATACCAACCTGGGGGTCCGAACCACGCGTTCTGCGCCGTCGACTACGACGCCAGCCAGGGGGTGCTCGCCATGCACACGTGCCCGCACTGTGGCGCGTGCCAGCAGGAGTGCGTGTCCAGCGAGGGGGCCGCGGAGGACAAGGGGGGGTACACTTGTGCGGGCGGCTATTCCGCCGCGCCGAGCACATTCTGCGGGTATTACGACGATGCGGACTTCACCGCTGGCGAGATGTGCTGCGAGTGCGGGGGCGGACAGAAGGTCAGGATCGTCTAACCCATGTCCATCCCCACTGGGCCATAGTATCCCAGACCCACCAACCCGGCCTCCCAGATGGGGACAGGGCACACATCCTGGCCCAGGGAGGGCAAGCTGACCAGTGGGGGGCCAAGGACACACCAGTGGGGATAGGGATCGCTGAAGCGATGCTTCCTCCTCCTCCTCCTCCTCCTCCTCCTCCTCCTCCTCCTCCTCCTCCTCCTCCTCCTCCTCCTCCTCCTCAGGAGGAGTGGGCGCAGTGGGCGGGGCATGGCGCCGCGAACCCGGTCCTGCTGGGCCTCGCCGAGCCGAGCTGGGCGAGCGTGCGCGGTGCCGTCTCGTTCGGGGCCGGCGGCGCGACCCGGGCGCAGGCCGGTCGACTGCACGTAAAGGGTGGCCTTTCGCCGGAGTGACTTCTGCGGGTCCAATCAAACGACGCGAAGATCGGGACAAAGTCGGATCGGGATAACTCGAAATCTCTGAGAATCGGCGGGTTTGGAGGATGTATTGGGCGCCGCGGCCGCTCCAGAGCGTTCCGGAACGCTCTGAGAGCGCTCCGGAACGCTCTGGAGCGATTTATCCCGATCCTAGCCCTGTTTTATCCAATGTGGCCCCTCGGAGCGGCCTGTGCGCCTGGTGGTGTCCCCGAGGGGCACGCGTTCGCTTGGCATCGCTCGGACGTGTGCATTGTTCCTCAGGCGACGGCCATCGAGGAGCCTCCTGGATCATTTGGGGGAAAAGCCACGCACGAAACCGATAAAAACACAGGGAATGGACGTCCGAGCGATGGCCAGTTAGGCCGCGCACCAAAGGTCACTCTTGCCCTGTGTCACTCTTGCGTGCAGCCGAGTGTAGCCGAGGCCGGGGCCGCCGTTGCGGCGGTCCTCGCTGAGTACGTCGGCGCCAGGAAGGCGAACGTCCACGCGGATGCCTCCCCGATCGCACGGCGGCGGCTCTCGTCCAACGGTGGGCCAGGATGCAACTCCTAGTGGATCAAATGCAGCATCGGGGCTGGTGCACCAACCGGGCTAATCTGGCAGAACCCGCATAATCGGGCTTGATCGGAGCCGAACCCCTGGCGCAGTCTGGCCCAATGTGACTTGAAGCCCCTGAATCGGGTTTAGGAGCCCTGACTCGTTCTTGCGAAGGCCTTCCAGGAGTTGCATCCTCAGGTGGGGTCAGCGCCTGGTCGGTTGCCTACGAGATCCAGCTCCCGAGCGGGGGCTCCGAGGGTGCCCTGCAGCTGCTGCGGGAGCTGGCCGACCAGGCCGAGGCTGCGCAGGAAGACGACTCGGAGGAGATCAACGGCTTCGCGGGCGCGCTCGCGGCGCGGCTCGCCGAGAGCGCCGGCGTGGACGCAGGCTCGTTCAGCCTGCAGGGCCTCTCGCAGCCGGAGAGTGCTGCTGCGCAGCCCGGGAGCACCACCAGCGCCGGCCTCGAGATCTCGTCGGCCAGCGGTGCCTCCCCGCTCGCCAGCGCCCTGGCCGCCGCCGTGCTGGCGCTCTTCGGCTTCCGCTTCTGAGCTCGCCCTGGGCGGGGTTGGGACCGCGGCGGCCTGCGACGGCAAGCGACGGCCTGCGTCCGCTCGCGCTTGCCGCTCAGCGTTGGCGAGCGTGTCCGCGTTTGGGTTCAGGCAGATTCCGTAGGATGTGCGTCTTTGTTTTACCAAGGACGCAGTATCATCGAAGACGCCCACGGCGAGTCACCGCCCCCCTTGCCCTGAAGGAAGTGGAGGGTGAGCAGAGGGAGGAAAAAGCAGAAAGAGGAGGAGGAGGAGGAGGAGGAGGAGAAGGATGAGGAGATCTATTGGGACCCTCCACGGCCATTCCTTGGGTCTCCTGGAAGCTTCCTGGGGGCCTCTTGGAGGCTTCTTGGGGGCCTCATCGGGCCGCTTGGGGGCCTTCGGGGGCTTCTTGGGGGCCTCTTCGGCTGCCTGGAGGCGTTCCTGGCTCGCCCGACGCTGTCGGAAGCCGTCTTGGGGGGCTTCTCTGGGCAGTCTTAGGGCCCTCTTGGAATGCTTCAGGGCTGCTTGGGAGGCCATCTGGGGCGTCGTGGAGGCCTCTTGGGCAGTCTTGGAGCCCTCCTCGGGCCGTGGCGGGGGCCTCTTGGGCAATCACGGGGCCATCTTGGAGGCCTCTCGGGCGCTCCCGGGGCCCTCTTGGACCGTCTTTGGGGGCCTCTTCGGTCAGTCCGAGGGGCCTCTTGGGCCGTCGTGGAGCCCTCTTGGAGGTCTCTTGGGCGATCTTCGGGGCTTCTTGGGCCGTCGGAGGGTCAAAGAGGCGCAAAAGCTTCCCCAAAAAAATTCGCCGGCCCAACGGGCCAGAGGCGTGCTACGATCTCCGGTAACTGCTCTACAATGTTTCTACTTCGCGCGCGCGGGGCGGCCCCTGGGGGTCCCCAGACGAAAAGTACCCCGACCAGGTCCCGGCCGGTCCCCGGCCGGGTCCCCCCGAGCGCTCCACGAGCGCACCAACAGGGCTCCGAAAACGTCCCCGAGGACCCAAACAAAACCAAGAGGCCCGCAAGAGGCCCCCAAGATGGTACACGAGGCGTCCGAGATGCCACAAGATCGCTCCAAGACGCCCAAGATGGCCCCCAGACGCTCCAAGAGGTCTCCAAGCGTACTCCCAAGAGGGCCCCAAGAGGCAAAATTCATTGCTTTTCCTTAGGTTTTGGACATATTTTGGCTTTTCCACCTTTTCCGCTTCCCGAAGCCCCAAGACAGCCCAAGACGACTCCAAGATCGCCCCAAGAGGGCTTAAGAGGCCCCCAAGAGAGCCCCAAGACGGCCCAAGAGGGCTCCAAGACGGCCCAAGAGGTCTCCAAGACGGCCCAAGAGGGCCCCAAGAACGCCCCAAGAGGGGGAACACGAAACAACATTTCCAGCCCTCGGCCCCAAGAAGCCCCCAGGAGGTCCCAAGAGGCCCCTAAGAGGCCCCAAGAGACCCCCCAGAGGCTCTCAGGAAGCTCCCAAGAAGCCCCCAACCGGCCCCAGGAGGCCCCCCAAATACCCCCCGGGCACGCAGGCAAGCGCCAGTGATGCTGCAATATGGGCCGGCGGAATGAGCGAAGCGATTGAATAAAAACCGAAGCGTTGAAAATCCACGATGTGTGCTTCTTCCGTTGAAAGTCCATGATGTGTGCTTCTTCGGGCCTTCCTGTATGTCCTCTTGGGAGCCTCTGATAGGCAGTCGTGGAGGCCTCCTGAAGGCTTCTTAAACCCGTCCTGGGCCATGTTGAGGCCACCTTGGGCGAGGCCTCTCGGGCGCTCCCGGGGCCCTCTTGGACCGTCTTTAGGGGGCCTCTTCGGTCAGTCCGAGGGGCATCTTGGGCCGTCGTGGAGCCCTCTTGGAGGTCTCTTGGGCGATCTTCGGGGCTTCTTGGGCCGTCGGAGGGTCAAAGAGGTGCAAAAGCCCCCCCAAAAAAATAAAAACCGAACCGTTGAAAATCCAGCCAATCCACGATGTGTGCTTCTTCCGTTGAAAGTCCATGATGTGTGCTTCTTCGGGCCTTCCTGTATGTCCTCTTGGGAGCCTCTGATAGGCAGTCGTGGAGGCCTCCTGAAGGCTTCTTAAACCCGTCCTGGGCCATGTTGAGGCCACCTTGGGCCGTTTTGGGTGCATGTTGGGCCGTGTCTGAGACATCGTTCGGCCATCTCGGACTCTCTTGGAGGCATCTTTGAAGGGGCCCCAGGACACACAAATAAATACACACAAATGAACATGTTCCCCATTTTTCCCATATGTTCTTGGTCTTTGTCTTCCCCCCCATTTCCCATAGTTTCCCATATTTTCTGGGGAATCGACGATTAATTGTGTCTGTGTGTTTTTTCCCCTCCTGAATCTTGGCCGCCTTGGAGGCCATCTCTAGCGTCTGGGAGGCTTTGAGGGCCGTCTCTTGGGCCCTGTCAGGGCCGCCCTGGGGGCTTCCTGGGGCCCTTGCGGCGATCTTGCGAGTCCGGGTCTGTTAGACCGTCTCGGGCCGTTGGAAGGCCGACGGGGCCAAAAGCCAAAAGCCTCCAAAAACTTATGGAAATCCGTGATTGCACCTCTCCGGGCATCATTGCAGGTCCTCTCGGAGGCCTCGTTGCCGTCTTGGAGGCCTCCTGGGGCTTCTTGGGCCATCTTGAGGCCATCTTAGGCCGTCTTGAGTGCATCTCGGGCCGTCTTGGAGACATGCTCCAGCCATCTCGCGCTCTCTCGGAGCCTTCTTGGCCGTCTTGGAGGCTTCATGGGACCATCTTGGAGGCCATCGATGGGCAATCGCAGCCGTGTTGGAGGCGATTCGACCACCGAGGTGGGTGTGGGGGAGTTTTCCGGGTGGCCGGCGGGTTGGGCCGAAGCCCCAGTAGGATTTGTTTGTTAGAGAGAGAGAGAGAGAGAGAAGAGAGAGAAAAAAAAAAAAAAAAAAAAAACGTTGAGTGCACAAAAAAACGCACATGAGCGCGAAAAGCAGCCTCAGAGGGCGTCGCAATACCGCGTGACGGTCGCGTGCCAGGCTGCGATGGACTGCACTGAAGATTGCCAAAGATGCGCAAGGGCCGCCTCGCCCCCAGCTGCCCGGACAGCGTGCGCATGAATCTCACAGCTCCATGTCTTTCTCGGTCTGCCCCTCTTCCTCCTGAACATGGACAGCACTCCCGGACCTCTAGCACGCCGTACACCCCTTGTCGCAAGCCACAGGTGGCCGCGGATCTCCTGGCCTTCGGCCCATCCCGCCGCCGTGCCTGGATTGCAGTTCCGAGGCCGCCTGGATGCCAGTGGGGATACAGTGGGAGGCCTCTTGGAAGCGGTTTTTGGGGAGCGTCTTGGGGCCTCTGGGAGGCTCTCAGGGGCCTCCCGGGGGCCTGGTTTGGCTTGCGGGCCTCCCGGGGCTTGGGGGGGAGCCCCCCCGGGGCCTGTTGGCGGTCTCGGGGGTCAGCTTGCGGCTGCTGCACTCTCAGGGTCGCTCTCAGCGCGCTGCTTCGGAGGCGGCCGTCCGCGCCACGATCCGCAGCCACGCTCCTGAGCGGACGCCATGGCACGACTGCGGGGCCCAGCGTACGAGGTCCTGCTCGACGGGCGGCGGCCAACACCCGGCCAGCGGCGACGCAGCCAGCACGGCAGGAACAATCAGGAGGGGAAGAAACACACAGACACAATTAATCCTCGATTCCCCAGAAAATATGGGAAAATATGGGAAGTGGGGGGGAAGACAGAAACCCAGAAAATATGGGAAAATATGGGGAATCTTTTTATTTGTGTGTATTTATTTGTGTGTCCTGGGGCCCCTTCAAACAAGTAAATCTGATTCGAGGCAACGATCGGATGCACGGAAGGTTTTTCAAGAACACGCCTGGGCCGCGTCGAGCTTTCCAAGAAGCCCAGACCCTTGGGAGCCAGCGGTCCAAATGTCGGGGGCGCCGGGTCCCATCCCGCAAGGCCTAGGGGAGACAATCCTTTGGCAGGCTGGTGCAGCGCTGATGCTTCCGCCCATGCACGTGTGGCGTGCACCGAGGTTTCCAGGAAGCTCCGAGAGCCGAAGCTGCCGTGTGACAAGGTTGGGGGCAGCAGAGGATGGTCCGCAAAATACGGATAGCATGATTGCAGGATTTCACGATCAGGAACTTGGGCTTAGCGTGTCGCGCGGCGGGTTCTGGCCCACCATGCTTCGGCGCGACACGCTAATCGTGTCCCAGTCGCCAGGCGTCAACGTCCCGAGCTTCTCCCATCTTCCCGCCAAGGGGAGCAGAGCGACATGCGATCCGCTTGCAAGGCACAGCGTGTTGCCGGGGCCGCCGCCGCGACACGCTGAGCAAAAGTTCCCGACTGTAGAGTAGCGTGTTGCCCGTGCACTTCGGCAACACCAATAGTCTGCATCATTATGTCTCTCTCTCGCTCTCTCTCTCTCTCTCTCTCTCTCTCCCTCAGGTGTTTTGTCCAACGCCTAGTGTTACATGTATTGAGCTCCGCCTCGCTGGAGCGGGCATGCTTTCAGACGGTTCCTTGGAACGCACCCGCGCCAGCTTCGAGCACCATGGTGGCGCGGGGAGTCTTCGGCGGCAGGGGCCTTCTCGGGGCCGCCTCCGGCGAGACGCCGCCCCGCGCGCGTGGCCGGAGAGCGGACGCTCTTGGGGGAGAGGGCTGAAGCGGCGCCTTGGCGGCCCCTTGGGGGCTCCGCCGGCTGGTCGTGGGGCCTCTGCTGCCTTCCTTTGCGGCTTCCCTCGAGCCCCGTCTTGGGACTCTCTTTGGGCTCTTCTTGGGGGCCATGACCTCCAATACGGCCCTGAAAGGTCCCAAGAGGACCCTGAGTCGGTTCGTAAAAGGCGCCCGAACCGGCTTCCGACGGCGTCAGACGGGCCCAAAAAAAGTTCGGGGGGGCATGTTGGGGGGGTGAATTCATTACCATGTTTCCTCGGGCGCTGAAGATGTCTTGTGGGAAGCCCCGAGGACCCACAAGAGCGCTCAAGAGCGGCAGGCAATTGGAGGTCTGGGGCTCTGAGAGCGTTACAATGTTCCATACACCAGACTCAGCACTGAACTTTGTAGAGGGACAAAGAACATTTGATTCGGTGCATGTGGCACAGTGGCGGATCGATTGTTGCATGAGGTCGGCATGAGACCACCAAACAAGAGGCCCTTACTCATCCTCACCCTCTTCTAATTATGATGTGTCTTATTATATTATTATTATTGTTCGTATGATTACTTCTCTTAGTCGTAATATCATTATAGTATTAGTATTGTGTTTGAGTATGGGTATTGTTTTTATTATTAGAATCATTAGTCGTACTCTTGTTTCTGCTCTTGCTTCTCCTCTTGTCTGAGAGTGGATACGCAGTCTCCCAGACTTTACGGTCATGCTCCTCCTCCGCCTCCACTCTGCGCCACTGGCCCCTCTCCACCGGATCCTCTCCTGGCGCATGTTGGCACAAGATCGGCAGCGCAGGGGCGCAGAATCTGTAGCCTCTGGAGAAGGATCTGGTCCCCAGCCGCTCCGCCACCGCGCATGCCTCCGAAAAGAGGAGGCACGTGGCGGCGCCCCAGCGGGGCACAGCAGCCTACAAAAGGTTGCGGCACTGACTGGGCGCGCCGCGCCCCCTGCTGCAGCAGAGCGCAAAAGAAAGTCTGGTCTTCCTCCTCGCTCGTCCCCCCTCCTCGTCCACCGTCTCTTCCTCCTCGAGTAAATCCAGGCCTCCCAAGTGGGGGTACGAGTAGATGGGCTCGGACGACCGTGCGGCATCACGGATGCCTCGGCGATGCGTCTCGATGTGGGGCCCTGCTTTCTCCACGCCAGCAGCGCCGACGCATCGGCGATGCATCAGCGATGCGGCGTGGTCCTCCGAGGCCAGCTACTCGGACCCCGCTTTGGAGGCCCATGGTAAGATATCAAAGCTCATCGCATCTTCTGCCCCTCCTCTGGACCCATCCCCCGCCAGGGAGCTTCGCTCTCCACCAGGCCCTGTGCACGCAGAGCATGGAAGCTGATGCCACCCTCGCTCCCTATTGGCGCATTGTCATCGAGCGGCGGGCGACGGCAGATGCCGAGTGGAGAAGCGGAGGGGAAGACCCAGCCATGCTCGCGTCGTGAGAAAAAAAGAAGACGGAGGGTTGTTGGCTGGTTTCGATATTTGGGGCCTTCGATGTGCCTTCGATGTGCCCCGAGACGGTCAAAAACAGCTCCAGGTGAAAAACCGGCCCTGGGGAAAGAGCCGGGACTTCTGGAGGCCTTTTTAATTAAAGAGATAAAGTTAAAAACATCGCATGTCTGGGAAGCGCTTTGGGACGGCCGCGGCGCCCAATACATGTTCCAACACCGCCAGATCTCAGAGATCCCCGCGAGGTCCTGGGGCGATGTTGTCCAGGTCCTGACTTCGTCGTATCCTCCCCCCTCCCAATCGCCCGTCGCGGCGCCGAGTGTCGACGACGCCACGGGCCACTCCCAGGACGGCGGGGGATGTCCGAGGATGGAGATGGAGCCCCGTGCTCAGCCTGCGTCCCAGCTGCAGGCGACGGGCTGGGCGGCCGACGTGCCGCGCAGCCTCCTCGCGACCAGCCTCCCGCAGGCCCCGTGGCCTCGCCTCCGAGACCGGCGCGCTGCGGCTGCGCTCGCGGGGCAGGCGGTCCTGCTCGCGCTGGATGCCGCCCCCCTGCGGGGCTCCGGCCTCGTCGCGGCCTCGAGGCGACGCCGTGAGCGTCGCGGCGGCGCGGGGGCCGGCGGCAGCCACCGAGCCGCAGGCCGGCATCGGCAGAGGCGCTCGCCGCGGGAGCCGCCGCGGCAGCCGGGTCGGCACCCGGCCGGGGACGGCCCCGAGGCTGCCTGGCCGGGAGTGGCGGGCGAGGCTGCCGCGGGGCGATCTGCTGGCGGCTGGGGTCGCCGCGCACGTGCAGGTTCCAGAGAGACTGCCCTGCGCGGTCCTCCGGGCGAGGCGGAGGTCCTCGGAGACGTCTCGGCGCGCGCGGGAAGACGGGAGGCAGTTTTTGGAGTGGGTGCGCTTCTTGGGACTGGACCTCCTGCTCGAAGCCGCGCTGGTGGAACGCCTCGCGTGGTTTTGGGGGTCCTGGTGGGGCGCGGTCTGGACGTCCGTGCAGCACGGGCGAGGGGGTGCCATTGTCTGCCGCCACGAGCAGAGGCGAGCAAAGGGCGGTGCGGGCCCACCCCTTTGCGGCAGCTGGGGAACCAGGGCGAGGGTTGCGGGCCAAGGTCAGCAATACATTGGCGCCCCGCACCGCAGAGCCGGGGCCGGAAGTCAAGGTTGGTTTCCTTTCGGCGACTCACCCCGTGCCGTCGCCGCGAGGTATCCCGCACCCTCCCGAAAATCTCGAGAGCGTCAATGAGGAGACGAGGCGCCTGCTCTAGAGGCCGCCCCGCCTCTTCACGGCGCCCAGGCTTTCAGGCTGGCGCGCGGGGCACGTGGCAGATGGGAAGACGTGCTCTGAGCCTCCGGGCTGGCCTGCCGAGGTGATCGCGTGGGCCGCCACCAGCACGCTCCAGGACGGGGCCAGGGCCGGGGAGGCCCCGGCGCTCCGCCAATCAGGCAGCGGCGTGCGACCGCGAATCCCGGGTTCCACCGGGCGCCGCGGGATCGCGAGCGTTGCCACGGGCCAGGAAGGACCAGCTCGGGGACGCAGCCGGGCACAGGCAGCACAGGGTCTGGAGACCCAAAGGCACCGAACTCCGACTGCGGCAGCTGGAAGTTCGAGCTGGAGGCCGCCTTGACGTCGACCTCGCGGGAACGAGCGCCCGCCAGAGCGGCAATGGCGGAGCGAGACGAGATGGCCGCGAGTGCCCTGCTCCCCGAGTGCGGACAGAGCGCGGCATCTGTGGCGCGATGTTGTGGGCGCTTCCACCTCGCTTGACAGTGCGAGGGGGGTCGGCCAGGCTGGGGGGGGGGCCGTCGCCCGCGGCTTTCTCCGTGGCAGAGCAGGCCGCTCGGAACGGTTTCCAGGAGGAGCTGGCCCGCGCGGGCTTGAGGGCCCAGCTCCGCAGCTACTGGACACCTGCCTGGTGGTAGACGCCACGCCAGCCGCGCTCGCGCTGCAAGCCTTGACGTGGTCACCGCTCCGCCCCCTCGTGCTGCGGCTGAGCGCGGCGAGGACGGCCGCCCGGTCCCCCTCCGGAGCGCGCCGTGCCCACGGCGGACCCGCAGGCGCGTTGGGTGCCGAGCCTGCCCGTGCTTGGCACGCACATGCGGCTGCCAGGCGGCGCCGAGAACAGCGCGCCCGCTGCCCTGGGGGAGCCGGCAAGCAGCTCGACTGAGGCAGGGGGAGAGTTGCAGGGGCTTTGGAGGGATCCGAGGAAGCCGCAATGGGCCAGGCACAAGGAGCAAGCGGCATCAGCCCTCCGCGCCCACATGGGGCCCGGCGCGATAGCATTCTTCACACATGGAGCTCCCTGCAGACGCCAAGACGCAGCAGCATGCAGGGATTTCCTTTCACGGGGCGTCGACGACGTGGCCGAGGAGCGTCCTGGATAGCGCGGGCGAGCCTCGCGCTGCTGAGCACTGAGGGACTGCGCCAGACATTAATATACTTACGACGACGACGACGAATATCGCTGCTACTACGACTACAACTACGACTACTACGACTAGAACTAAGACTACAACTACTACTACTACTACTACTACTACTACTACTACTACTACTACTACTACTACTACTACTACTACTACTACTACTACTACTACTACTACTACTACTACTACTACTACTACTACTACTACTACTACTACTACTACTACTACTACTACTACTACTACTATACTACTACTTTACTACCACTACTACTACTAGTAGTAGTACTACTACTACTACTACT